ATTTGAGGCATCGATCATCAGAGCTAATGGTTTCGACGAGTCAGGATAGTGAAGCAGTGCTGTCTCCGCTAATGATTTTTTACAACGCTCGAAGCTTGATGAAGCTGCATCTGTCCACTGTAGTTTACGTATGTCGTTTTTCCTGTTCCCGGGAATAAGCTTCTGCAACTCAGCTTGGATGTTGGATGCATGACGAACGAAGCGTTTGTAGCCGTTGGCGAGTGCCAGAAAGCGACGGAGTTCCTTGACTGTTGTCGGTTTCTCGTAGTCCATAATGGCTTGGACGCGTGACGGGAGCGGCCGCACTCCATCACTGCTGATCAGGTATCCTAAAAATTCCACTTCCTTTTGGGTAAACACGCTCTTACCCAATTTTAGAACGAGTCCATGCTGGCGTAGGCGGTCAAACACTATGCGTAGATGCTCCTGGTGTTGAGCAAGGGATTCAGAAGCGATGAATATGTCATCTATAAAGACAAAAACGAAATCAAGATCACCAAAGATTCGGTTCATGTAGCGCTGGAACGTCTGACTTGCGTTACATAACCCAAATTGCATGCGGGTGAACTCAAACAAGCCAAACGATGTGATGACCGCCGTTTTGGGAATGTCTGCTTCCTCCACCGCAACCTGATGATACGCTCGCTCCAGATCAAGAGTTGTGAAAACGGACTTACCGTGAAGCGAATGCAGCAAATCGTGGATGTGCGGTACCGGATAACGGTCAGGTGTAGTGATATGATTTAAGCGACGGTTGTCACCAACGAAACGCCATTTCCCGTTCTTTTTCAGCACACAATGCAAAGGACTTGCCCAACTGCTACTCGATGGTTTGCATATTCCTAGGTCACACATAAGGCGAAACTCTTCCTTAGCAGCTTTAACTTTGTCCGGATGCATTCGTCGAACTTTAGACGCCACGGGTGGTCCACGAGTAACTATGTGATGGGTTACGTCACACTGCGTGACAGAACGAAGCGTCGATGGCAGAGTTATTTCCCGGTACTCCATTAACAAATCGTGGAACGGATGATCGGCACCAACAAGTGTTACACTGTGCAGAGCAGCAGTCATCATACCTCCAGAAGACTTCAATCCTGTCTGGCCATCTATCAGTTTTTGGTTTGTCAAATCGACGAGTATGCCGAAGTGCGCCAAAAAATCAGCACCGATTATTGGCATCGTCACTTCAGCAACGAGGAAATTCCAGGTGAATCTTCGTCTCAATCCTAGGTCAACAGGAATAAATTTCGTTCCAAATGTCCGAATTCTACTTCCGTTGGCTGCGTGGAGCTGTTGTATAACGGTACCGTTCAATCGATCTCTCCTGGAGGCAGGCAATATTGTGACGTCCGATCCAGTGTCGATTAGAAAGCGTGTATTGTTCGTCCTGTCAAAAATTACCATTCGGCGACTTTCCGACACTCCGGCCACCACCGCCGATGATGGTGGGGAGGATGCTAGTTTTTTGAGCTCCATGAACACGGTTCTCGGCACCGCTGAGCATCGTTTCCATATTTCCTATGGTACCAGCACAGTCCGGATCGTGATGACGAACGAGAACCACTTCGGTTTCGCGAAAACGAACGGCCTCGCTCAGGGTTGGGAGCCTTCAGGCGTCGGATTTCCGCTGTGAGAAGTTCGATTTGCTCTGCTAGCTTCCTTTCACCACTGTTGCTGTACGTTGGTTCGTTGTGCACCATGGCAACTGCGGAGGACTGACCGTTGGAGGCGTCGGTGATCTTGTCTGCCATTTCAGCCAACTTCTCGATGGTACCATCGTGACATGTGAGAATTGGTCGAATGTTTGCCGGGAGGCGTTGAATGAAAATCATTTTGAGCAGATTGTTATCCACGCCCAAACCCGTCGACAACTCTCTCATCTTTGCTAACAGATGCGTTGGGCGCATATCGCCAAGATCGTGGGCCCCCAGCAGCTGTTCGAAGCGGCTTTCAGCAGACAGGGCGAAGCGAGCAATTAGGCGATCTTTCACTGTTTTGTATTTATTTTCCGCTGGAGGAGCAGCTACCAAATCGGCTATGTGACATATAACCGATTGATCCACTTTGGCCACGATGCTGCTGCGTTGCTCCCGTTATCGTCCGGTATTTTGAGGTTAGTTTCGGCTTTGAGATCGAATATCGGCGAATAACCGTGAAATCGGACCGAAACTTTTAGATTCGCGACGTCGCGGGTCACCAATGTGGTGATCGGACACGGAATAAAGAACGATTAGTTACGAAATACTTAAAATCTTAATTTTTACTTTCAATAGAAAAACAACCACGTTCGCACGTTGATAGCTGCGTAGCAGATTGACAGCTTGAGTTCTTTTTCTTCGACGACGACCCGATGGAAGCCAGGCTGACCAGTGTTGCCGGGCGATGCCACACATCCTTATACACAATATGAAAGTTTAATGCCGCGGACACACTTGGATGACAAACTATGAGCATAAGCATTATTTGTATAATAAATTATAAGCAAATTCATGGCCACACTTGTATAGTTTGTGTACAGTTGTTGTATAGTGATCATAATTATTATAAAAATAAATGCTCATGCTCATAGTACGTCATACAAGTGTATCCGCGGCATAAGGTCTTCATTTGCCACACTGATGATGATAAGTAAAAGAATTGACCTAACCATCATGTTACCTTGCTACGAAAATTGCAAAATATATAATACCGTAGAACCCCATTAGATTGAATAGCTAAAATGAAAATTAAATGGCGCTCATTTAGAATTTGTTTAACTGGTACAGGTGCGTAAAGCCATTGGGTAAATTCTAAAAGAGCGTGGTTTAAATACCATTTTAGCTATTCAAACTAGCGACGTTCCACGGTAGTAGGAGTGGACGGGGCAAGATCGCCACCCGGGGCAAGACGAGCACCATTAAGGTTTACATTTGTTATCTTATGTTTTTAGAAATTGCTCATACACTGATAGGCAAAATAAAGTGCCCACCCCATCATTTTTTGAATTTCTCTCATTTATTTGGTTCAAATTAAAGTAAATACACTGTAGTATTTTTTATATCTTATTCTTTATATTCTTTTTAAGTTTCACTTATAGAATACCAGATAAAAAGAAGAGACTGACTCGAAGAAAAAAAAATCAAAATGGGTGTAAAAAAGAACAGTGACAAAAAAAAGTGCCCACTGCATTTTAACTCCAGAAAACATAAAATAAAGTAAAAGAATACCAGCCTAATAGTTAATGTGTCCTCCTTTGGCCTTCAGGACCAGCTGCAGGCGCTTCGGCATGCTCTCCACTAGATTCTTCAGGTGCTGTGGATCTAGTTCTTCCCAGGCGCGCTCCAGGGCTTCAAAATAGTTATTTTTATTGGTAACACCAGTTTTGTCAACCCTGGCATCGAGAATCGCCCACAAATTCTCGATGGGGTTGAGGTCCGGGCTTTGTGGAGGCCATTCCAGTGGTTTAATTCGACATGACCGGAAGAAAGACTTAGTCTTCTTGGCAGTATGCTTCGGATCGTTGTCCTGCTGGAATACGAATTTCTCCTCAAGGCCCGTCTGGATCAGCGAAACTTCCAGATTTTCCCGCAGGATGTCGATGTAGGAATCTGCCGTCATTATCCCGTCGATTTTCACCAGGCTTCCCACTCCACCCCACGAAAAGCACCCCCAGACCATCACATTTCCTCCTCCATGCTTCACCGTGCCTTGTATGTGGCGCTCCTGAAGCTCCTCACCCGATCTACACCACACACGAACCCGTCGCTTCCGGTTGAACAGTTCGAATTTTGATTCGTCCGTCCAGAGAACCGTTTTCCAGAACTCTAGGGGCTTATCAGCATGCTCCTTAGCAAACTTAAGCCGTTTGACTTTGTTTGCCTTGCTGATAAATGGGCGCTTCCGAGCAACTTTGCTGTTCAACCCCTGTGCTACGAGACGGCGACGAACAGTTCGACTGGAAACTGTTAGCTGAAGAGCCTCCTGGATCTCGCGGACAGTTACCTTCGGATTCTTCTTCACTTCACGCATGATCTTGGTGTCCGTTCTCGCATCCGTTTTGCGCATCCTGCCTCTGCCAGGGCGATCCACCACTGATCCGAACGATTTCATTTTCTGCAGAATTTTCCCGACCGCTGTTTTGCTGATATTGTACTTCCTAGCGACAGACCGGTGCGATTCACCGTTTTGCACATCACGAACAACCAATTTTCGGATACACACGGGAATTGCTTTCGAAATCACTACGTCCTCCATTTTTTTCAACTGATTCAAATGCGATCACGTGTACAAATGCACCAGTTCCACCCGTTTGCTTCAATACATGTCAAACTTTCAAAACAAAAACAATCGAGGGGTTTTCCGATGGAAACTTATCGAAAACATACCGATTTTTGAAGTGGGCACTTTTTTTTGTCACTGTTTTCTTTTTCAATCCAAATTGATTTTCTTTTACTTCAAGTAAAACTTTATATTTTCAGTATTCCATAGGTGTAACTTTAAAAGAATAATAAAGGTAAGACATCGAAACAGACTACGGTGTGTTTATTTGAATTTGAACCAAATAAATGAGAGAAATTTCAAAAATGATGGGGTGGGCACTTTATTTTGCCTATCAGTGTACGTACCTTTGAACAATGATCCTAAGATGCAACGTTCCAAAAATGATTAAGAAATATTCAATAACTATCAAGAACCTCATAAAAATATCCCGACCGAGAAAATACTATTGTGAATAAACATTCAATTAATTCTTTAATCTACATCATTTGGTTCAACAAATTTCAACGTGTCCAAAGTAGTATCCCACGACCGTATCTCAAAATTGAACGTTCTTAAATGTCCTTAAATTTTAGAAAAAAAAAAACAGTTGTGCGAGCACAATTTAAAGAGATAGATTCCTGAATGTTTGGCATCTAATTAACCTAAACCTAGTAGCATTTTTTATAAATTTAAAACAAAAGTTCACCCATCAGAGTAAAATGAAATAACACCAGTAATTAACCTGTTCTGAAACTTACCATCCTCCTAAGCTCTTTGGCTTTCACACGCATCTTCCTTTTCCGCTCGCTGATCGGTCCAATTTCCTGCAGTTTCGGTTTCGTCAGCCTCGAGGTGCGTCCGGCCATCTTCCGAGGCGTTTTCAGCGCATTACCGCTTCGCCTAGGTTTCTTATTACGTGCCATTCCTGTCGTGATTCAGCTGTAAAAATAAAATAAATTAAAACTACTATCGAAAATGTGCTTTAAACTGAATGCGATACATGCTCTATGGACGACCCCCCACCACACGGAATGTCATTATCAGTGGCAGTGGCATTGGCAACGATCCTCCACCAAACTCTTGTGCGAAAAGAGAGCAAAATAAGGTACGTGCTGGCTCGCATTGCGCATGTGTCCTTGACACCCTTCAGAATCCTGACGGCTAGTTTGGTTGTGATTACACATCCATCCCTTCTTCGAGTGTCTTTTGTTCCAGCTGAAGAAAGATTCATCATCCTAGTTTGCAGTGTTAGTCATTATTTGAAAAACCTATTCAGTTCAGATTAGCTCCTCGAGAAAATGGATCCCATTTGGCAAAACATTACGACCGCACTGGAAGTCCCATCGGAAGTGGCGGACAAGTGGCTGGCAAAGCTGAAACAGCAATACTCTCTACCAAACAGGCATTATCACAATGAAGAGCAAATGCTCCGTCGGAAGGTCGAACATCTCTCCGGCTCCAGTGTATGCCTCCAGCTGGCGCTACTTTTTCAGTATTACAACTTCGATGCAGGGAAGGATTGCGTCCAGGAGAACTGTGACGCTCTGAAGGAGTTCCTGGCCGAGGCCAAAATAGACAATGTAAGTGTTGACTGGATGCTACGTGGGACGATCGATAATCTGGTGTTTACTGTTGCAGAAAGCTCTGGAGAACAATACCCTGAGACTGCTGGGAGACGTTTCGGTGGAAAGTTCTGATTTGCCGGACGACGATGTTTCCTACTTTCAGGATTTGGATCTTTTGATATTAGGGTAATTTGTAATGATCGCTTCTACATAGCAAATACGTACTTACATATGCTAACATTTAAAGGTATTCCGCGGAAGACTACAAGCTGTACACTGAGCAACTCCGAAAGGAGTATCCCTCGAAGGAAACAAGTTCCTATGCAAAAATGAGGTTGAAGGTAATCCGAGGTACTGCCGTAAATTGATGCAAAATTATAATCACATTCAATTTTGCAGATCCTTCAAACTTTCAACCGAATTCCCTTCATTTACGCTACAAAGGAGTTTGGGGATAAATTCGAAAAAACTGCCAGGGATAACATTGGGAAGGAAATCAAGGAATTGGAAAGCCAATAGGAAAGTGAAATGATAATTATTCTAATTGTTGTACGGAAATAAATAATTCACCATGTTTGAATGAGTATGTAAACAGAATATAACCTGAATAAACCTTCAGAGCCAACCGACCTTCGCATTGTTTTGCTTTTATGATTCGATAGCTACGTACTTGCTATGGCTTACCTTGGAAAAGAAGACTTCGGAATTATGAACTCCTGTCTAGAGCAACAGATTGTTTATCCAATTTTAAATGTTTAGAAAAATCAGTCGAATGAATAAATTGATAGTATTTCACGCCAAAATACGACGAATAATCGCGTCCACATGCACAAAATAAAAACTGCTATCACTCACAACATGAAGAGACCCGAAGAGCAAATTATGATGCTGCTGTCAAAAATTTGTTGAACGGAGTTTTTGTTTTGCTCACGCTTTCTCCATTTTAAAGCGCGAATACAGTACAGGGTGGCACACTGATCCAAATTCATTAAGCTGTTCACATCTCTTTTCCATTAGGTTCTGCAGCGTGACGTCACAAATGAACTCAGTGTTAATTAGGTTCTGCAGCGTGACGTCACAAATGAACTCAGTGTTAATAGACTGAACCTTTTTGACAGTTCAGTGGTACTGTTTACTAGAGTCGGTGTATAATGAGTCACGCCAAGAGTGAAGCCAAGTCTACCTATTGAACTGTCAAACCGGCTACCTATCGTGCAAAGTAAATAAACATTACGATGCTATGAAAGGTCCACGAAAGGTATTGCAATAAAATATAAAATATAATCAAAGAAATGAGCATAAACACGCAGTGAGCGTTAAATTGTCATGGGATACGCTCGGTATTGATTAGTAATGTGAATTTCTACAATTTTTTGTTAAGATAATTTGACAAAATCACTGATATAATGATTTACTACAGCCGCAATATTTTTTCTCTCGCTAGAAGTCATTTGAAGTTGTTGTAGAAGTCCTCTGTTGCCAAGTGAAAAGAATGAGAATCTTTCGAAAACCGTGATGCGAGTTCAACTGTTTTTCTCTTGGCGTGACTCATTATACACCGACTCTACTGTTTACAAGCACTTAGTCGTTTTTTCGAAAAAAAAAATTCTAAAATTTCCTAATTTTAACTTGAAAATTGTCGAGGAACAGCGCATTGCAAGGATGTTGCTCGTGAACATTGCAGAAATGTGGTTTACATCTCACTGCAGTCTGAAAAATTATCGAGAAAATCCACCCAAGAAAAAATCGGCTAAGTCCACGTAAACAGTACCACTAAACTGTCATCAGATTGAGGTTAACCCCGACGGTGCAAAACCTAATTGTCAAAAAACTTGTCACCTTCGAATAGTAGAATCCACACACTTAGTTTTTTTTTTTTTTGCCGAGATTGGCACCACCGAGCAGCTCGGCAATCTATTTTTACTGAGATCTCAGCAAAATTAATGTTTTTTAGCCGTTTGTTAACTGAATCTCAGCAAATTTTTCACTGAGATCCAGCAAAATAGATTGCCGAGCTGCTCGGTGGTGCCCATCTCGGCAAAAAATCTAAGTCTGAGGTGAAATTTATGCGTCACTAGTGGAGGGAAATAGCAACCAGTGGAAACTAACGATTTTAAATTGGCTCACTACTTGACTAGCCTATTGATCCCAAGTACATCTATAAGCAAGTTTCAATGCTACTATTTAACAGTGATTGATAAAATTGGACCACCAACAAAGATTTTTTTAAAGTCCTTTATGTTGATTACTTTTATTATGTTCTGGACGAGTCTGGACTAGAAGAAACAATTTGGAGAAATTATATTATATCAAATTGATGGCATTAAGACGTCTTCAGGCTCTACAAATTGGTCATGAGCCCAGGAATTTTTCTTTAACTTGTGGAAACTTCGTAAAACTTCAAATAGAAGTTCAGGGAAGATCGTAGAAATTAAGAAAACTTGGTAGATATTCTGGGAAATTCATAGACCTTCAGAAAAATTCGTAGAAAAAAGGAACTTCGAAAAGTTCTGAAAACTGTGTAGAAGTAGAGAATTCATTTAAATTTGAGGAGCTTCGTAAGTTAAAGGAACATTATTTTATTTTAGGGAAGCTCATTATTGATCGGGAACCTCTACATAATTTCAGTTTTTTTTTAGCCTCATGGACTTGAAATAGTTGTGGAAATTCAACAGCAAAGTTTGTAGAAGATTTTCGAATTTCGTAGCATTTTGAGGAACTGCGTAAAATTTCATATAAGTGTAAGGAATTTTGTAAAAGTTCAGGGAATTTTTTAAAAGATTTAAAAATAGTTCAATAAACTTCTAAGAACTTCAGGGATCTGCGCCTCTGTTTAGGGAACTTTGTTGCAGTTTTTCAGAGATCTTACTCGAAAAAAACTCCATGAACTTCTTGAAGGTTTTTGGAACTTCGCTAAATTCAAGGTGTTCAAGAATATTTGTAGATGTCTTAGGTGTCTTTCCAGAAGTACAAAGATGTTCAGAGATCTTTGTAGAATTTAAAGAAATGGAAAAAAAGGAATATGGAATAAATTCAGGGAACTTCGTAGAAGTTGAGGAAATTTTGTAAAACCTAAGTTTTGTAGATGTTCAGGAAACGGTACATAAGTTACAGGATATTCTATCAAACATCCTTCCTAGACATCAGGAAATATTCGAAACCACATAGTCCAAAATATTAGTAAAGTTCACTAGATATTTGGTAGGTTGTAGGTTGATCAGGAAGTATTCAAAAGTTTTCCAGCTAATGGAATCAGCTGGAATCTTAAATGATGAATCTTGATTTTTTTTGGCCATATTTGTACATTCTCTATAAGGAATACCAGTGCCTTGATGTTTTAACTATATTGTCACAAATTTGCACTCTAGCAGCTAAATTCCGGACAGAAATGTCAATTTCTGCCTCAATTTCTGCATATACCTAATATCGAGGGGGAAGACAGTGAGAAATTAAGAGCAATCCAGTGTAACTCTGAGGAACTCTTTTGCTCTCTGATGAACGATTTTATTAACTCGATTATTTCACAGTGCAGTCCAAGGAACGTTAGTTTTTTTCAGCCGGTGATCTATGCCGTAAAATACACTCAATTCATCGGAGAACCTATTAGCAAAACAAACATCACGCAATAACGTTGCTATTTTGATACAAAATATATGGGGTTAGGGGCTAGGGTAAAATATATGGGCCTCACAGGACTCATCATCAAGTACATGTCCCCACCGGAGCTGGTAGCCGGAAGGGAATATCAATTCGCTTGCTCTAAGCATCTGGATGCCCAGTACTATGGTAGCAAGATCCTGGTCAATTTCAGTATCATTGCATAGAGAAATGTGCCCTGCAGAAAGCCATCAGAGTGATTTAAGAAAATAGCCAAAACTCCAATGAACTGGTAGAAATCGAGATTATTTCCTTATTTAAATTTGCATCCATTTATTTTCTTCATTTATTGTTTTCGTTTCGTTATCGAACTGACATTTGCATGGTCAGATTCCAAAACTATATGCCCTACTAATTTTGTTTTCGTCACAAATTAGATCAGATCCCAGAGCAAACCAGAGTAACTCTGAGCAACTCTGAGTAAAAGATGTACTCAAATGAAAGCCGTCTTCCCCTCGCCTAATATGTATAAATTTTTTTCTTTTCGAATATCCTTCTTTATTAGTTACAAAATCTTGAAAATATATGGGTTTGGGATCACAAAATTATTTTTATTTTAACATTAACAATGTTAAAGATTGTGTATCTGCAGCATATGCATGTACGTAATTTGTGGATATGTTAGTTATTTCAACGCTTTTTAACAATTCTTGACATTTCTTATTTTTAAATAATTTATTGTTAAAGCATTGTTATCGATGCGTAGAAATATTTCTGATCGATTGGTGATAAAATTATTGAAATTGGTCCAGGAACAGCTGAGTTAATAACGTTCAAAATCTTTCATAATCTCGTTACATGTTCCATTTTCAGTTTTCACAAAGTGTACCCCCATATAGAAATCACCGACGTAGTCCTACGTCGAAAAATTGTGCATCCTGAACATTTTCCTACGTCCTAAATGTATAAAATTTTATTCTGTGTGCACTTTACCTTGTAACAGCCAGAATTTTATAAAATTTTAAAATTCAAACTCCTAGAATTTAATTTTGGTTCCTATGTCTGAGATTTGACTGCTCAACAAAAAAATCTAGTTACAAAATTCATGAAATTACCTTACCCTGAGAATTTTCTTAAGTTTGAGATGCTTACATTTACAAGATCCGGACTGTGATTTTATTGCAAAAAACATAAATAAAAGATCATTGCTTGTTCAAAGGTCCCAATCGTTGTTATGGAATAAATATAATAAAATTTATTGTTTCACCATTAAAATAATAGTAAGCTTCAATGTCATATTATTGGTCACAGAAAAAAATGTACCCAAAAATAAGTTACCTTGGACACAGTTTGAGTGAGTTTTTAATAACCCGTAGTTTTGCAAAAGTAAAAAAGTGCAGCAGGCCCCCTTCGGCCCCCTCCAGATAAATTTTCTAGCTACGCCAATGGTTGTTTAATATATCGTTGTACGATGTACATCGATTTTGTGAACAAAATTACATCCATTGATGTAATATTGTATCTGCTTTTTGCTATTACATCATTATTTCCTACATCAGCTTGTACCCCGTTCACATTACAGCCTATATCACGTAATATAGGCTGTCTTGCAATGAGCACTTATACATAGGATTTCCAGTGAAAACTAGATGTATCAGTGCTCATTGCAAGGTAGCGTATATCACGTGATATACGCTGTAATGAGAACGGGGTATTGAATTACATTTGTCGATATTACATTTTTTTTGCTGTGCATAGAATGTACTATTTACGGACGTTTTTATTCGGGTGAGCACGACACGTCTCGCATCTTCTGACTTGGTCAAAGCATTCATTTTAGGCGAGTTCATTTCCGATTTGTCTCTCCGCAGAGAGAACTGTCATCATATATTCTGTTTTGCGATTCTCTTTCGCTCCCGACATTCATTCGAGTTTTGTGTCGGGTGATTTGCGACGGAAGGTCCACTTTTCAGAAGCAGCAGTTCTTTGCAATCGCTCGTGCGCTTCGGAAGTTTAGTTCCTTGTTCCAGAGAGGAAACTCATCAGAGATCTTGTGCTTTTGTGGTGCAGTTCAAGTTGCACATTATCACATACCCGTTCGGTCCGTGCCATATTTAAAGATAGAAGCTGTGTTGTTTTCGGTCGCGCGCCACACGAACGACGGTAGCAAAGTTATATAAAGGTTGAACGGATTGCCTTTTATTTTTGTGTCCGCGAATTTTCAAGAGTGATTGTCGTGCAGTTCCATTTCGGAGTTTGCCAGCGGAAGTAGCGTCCCTGTATTCTTTTGTTGTCTCCCTTGATTCTTCATTGTCGTTATCATGGCTGATAAGGTGCGCGTCTGCATTGTCGGATCCGGAAACTGGTGAGTACTGCCTGCATGGATTCGGCTCCATTATTTGGGAAGTCCTTTGAATCGAAGGGATTCTAGCGTGATAATGCGTATTTTTTCCACACACAGCATTTGCATAGGGTTAGCTTTTTCAGGATATTGTTACGTAAACCCTTCATAGAGCTAATGGAAAAGGCGAAAACAAAAGCACAATAAATTTACACTACTGCTTTGTGATAGGTGGTCGATAGATAAAAGAATTTTACAATAATAACCTCAAAATGAAAGAATAATGGAGCATCAGTAGGTCATTGGATGTTAGTGGCCCGCAAAGATAGACTCAACGCTACAAACAAAGTAAAAAATGGATAAAACGCGACCGCGAAAAAAGTGTTTGTTTACATCACACTGTAGCGAATCGCCAGAAAGTGTGTGAAGAAAAGCAAAAATTGTGTAAAAATATAAATATTGGCCTAAAATCTTGTCAGGTTAGCTAACGATACAAGTGAGCCAAGGATCGTCTTCGTTGTCGTTACGTTATATTGCTCGATCCCGCAGCGAGGAGAATTTGTTCGCTGAGATGCATGGAAGACAATAATTGCCCACCTGTATAGGAACTCTAATTTGCCCTTGAAAGTAGGAACGGTCCTCTATGGCGACTGGGAAATGACGGATAACGAGAAATTGTAAAGAGGTGAAGATAATTGCTTTAGATCATTCCATTCTTCTCAAACTGTTTGAAACCCATACTTGCTGAAAAGATCTCAAATCTTTTGTTCGGGTGCCTTTTAAATGTTAAGCAAGGTTTGAGTAGCTTATATAATGTGTGAACAATACACTTCCTTACAACTGATTTCTATTTGTGCTGTGCAATGAAAGTGCTCCTTATTTTATAAATCAATTCACTTTCCGGCATGGTAAATGTAGTTAGAAATAATATGAATTATAGAATCCCTGTAAGCTCTTACTCATCGCTAGAGAATAAATATATATATTTTTAGATAAAATTTAGAGTTGCATAATGGTGTCAATCCTATCTTACAATAAATTTATCTTTAACATTGATGAACTACTGTTAGGGACTGTCCATAACCAAGTGGACAGTTTTTGAGTGGTTTCAGACCGGTACTTGGGCACTTTCAGTGGTGCAAAGGGACAACGTGAAAGTCTTCCATGCCATTTTTTTTAAACTTGTGATCGTGGGTACTCGCCAACAGACACACCTTTCCACGAAGTATGTAGACTAGTGATGAATCGAAACATCACGCATCACGCTTGTGATGGACAATATTTAGCGTGATCGTTTTGCAGATCGTTTAATAACTAAAGAAGGCCGAATACCAGCTAAAAATAACATGTATAACATAATGGCTTTACTGAACGTTTTTTGTGCGCTTATGAATTTCTTAGCAAAGGTGCCAAAAAATATTTTGGGCGCCCGGCGAAGTGGTTATCCAAACAAAAGCTTAGGGTCACCCAAAGAGATGAACTAGCCTCAGGCTAAAAATCTCTATAATAAAGGAAAAAAAAAAAAAAAAAAAAACTTAGGGTCACCCCTTTTCATATGAGACTAGTATGTATTAGTGCAAGAAAACTTTGAATTCAAAGTTCTGCACTAATACTTGTGCAATTCACAAACGTCAGAGAAGTCTATTCAATGATTCTATCAAAAGATATATGTAACTGATCTAGATAAAACAAATACTGATCCAACCCAGCCAACTTTACGTTATCCTGATCCGACATCCCTCAGGATTGCACCTGCATCACAATGTTACGCCAATTCACTCGGTCCGTGGCGGCTTGTCTCCAATTTCTGGACGCTTCCAAGATCCTGCTCCACTTGGTCTAACCACCTTGCTCGCTGTGCTCCTCTTCGTCTTGTACCGGCCGTATTCGAGGCGAACACCATTTTTGCGGGGTTGTTGTCCGGCATTCTTAAAACGTGTCCCGCCCATCGTACCCGTCCAGCTTTCGCAACTTTCTGGATGCAGGGTTCGCCATAGAGTTGCGCCAGCTTGTGGTGCATCATTCACCTCCATACACCGTTCTCACATACCCCGCCAAAGATGGTCCTCAGCACTCGTCGTTCGAAAACACCCAGTGCTTGCAGGTCCTCCTCGAGCATCGTCCACGTCTCGTGCCCGTAGTGAACTACCGGTCTTATCAGCGTCTTGTACATGGTACATTTAATACGGAGGTGAAGTTTACCCGACCTCAGGGTCTTGTGGAGTCCGTAGTAAGCACGACTTCCGGCAATAATACGCCGATGAATTTCTCTGCTGCAGTTGTTATCCGACGTCACCAATGATCCGAGGTACATAAATTCATCCACCACCTCGAACTCACCTCCGTCGGTTGTCACGCTTCTGCCTATGCGAGCCCTATCCCGCTCGGTTCCTCCAGCTAACAGATACTTTGTCTTCGACGTATTCACCTTGAATCCAACCTTCTCCTCTTCACGTTTCAGTTTGATGTACTGCTCCGCCACTGCCTGAAACGTTCTTCCGACAATGTCCAAATCGTCAGCGAAGCAGATGAACTGGCTGGACTTATTGAAGATCGTGCCCTCATGTTAAAGACGGCACGTTTCATAACACCTTCTAGCACAATGTTGAACAGGAGGCAGGAAAGACCTATCGCCTTGTCGAAGTCCTTTGCGAGTTTCAAACGAGTCCGATAACGCAGCCGATATCTACACGCAGAACTGTAAACCATCCATCGTAGCCCTGATCAGTCTGGTCAGCTTCCCGGGAAAACCGTTCTCGTCCATAATCTTCCATAGCTCTTCACGGTCAATAGTATCATAAGCAGCCTTGAAATCGATGAATAGGTGGTGCGTAGGGACTTGATATTCACGACACTTTTGGAGGATCTGCCGCAACGTAAAGATTTGGTCCGTTGTCGATCGCCCGTTCACAAAACCGGCTTGATAACTTTGCACAAATCTGCTTGCTAGCGGCGATAAACGGCGAAAGATGATCTGGAAAAGCACTTTGTAGGCCGCGATCTTTAATAGTGATCGCTCGATAGTTCTCACATTCTAGTTTGTCGCCTTTTTATATACTGGGCATATTACTCCCTCTTTCCACTCCTCCGGTAGCTGTTCTGTATCCCAGATCCTGACTATCAGTCTAAGCAGACAAGTGGTCAACTTAGGGTCTGTTCATAAACTACGTAGACAGTATTTTGGGATTCTTCACCCCCCCCCCCCTCCCCCTGCGTGGACAATTGTCCATACTAAAAAATTAAAATTTGTATGGGCCGTGGATAGTTGTCAACCCCCCCCCCCCCCTAAAACTGTCTACGTAGTTTATGGACAGCCCCTTATCCGGGTCCATTTTAAAATGTTCCGCTCCGATACCATCTTTCCCAGCTGCTTTGTTGTTCTTAAGCTGTCGGATAGCATCCTTAACTTCACCTATCGTGGGAGCTGGCATGTCCCCCTCATCCACTGTACCGACTAAGCCATTCCTCCTGCCACCTTGGTCCTCCGCCTCTGCACCGTTCAGATGTTCATCGTAGTGCCACCTTTCAATCACCTCACGTTCGTCCGTTAAGATACCCCCTTTCTTATCCCGACACATTTCGGCTCGCGGCACAAAGCCTTGGCGGGATGCGTTGAGTTTCTTGTAGAACTTGCGTGTTTCTTGAGAACGATACAGCTGCTCCATTTCTTTGCACTCCAGCTCTTCCAGGCGGCGCTTCTTTTCCGGAAAAGATGGGTTTGCTGTCTTCGCTTCTGTTTATATCGCTCCACATTATGACAGGTTCCTTGCTGCAGCATCGCCGCCCGCGCTGCGTTCTTCTCGTCCAAAAACCGTCTGAAACTCTTCGTCGAACCAATCGTTCCGTCGATTCCGCTCCACGAACCCAACGGCGCCTTCAGCAGCGCTGTTGTTTCACATTGCAGTGAAGTCCTCAAGAGGGGCTTCGGTGAGCTCTCCCTCATCCAATGCTGCGTCGAGGCATTGCACGTACTCTCAGTTGTGACTTCGGGCAGCTTCAGTCGCTCCAGATTGTACCGTGTCGGGCGTCGGTACCGAATGTTGTTGACAACGGAAAGTTTTTGGCGCACCTTGGCCATTAGAAGGTAGTGGTCCGAATCGATATTTGCGCTGCGATAGGTCCTGACGTCGATAATGTCCGAGAAGTGCCTTCCGTCGACCAGAACGTGGTCGATTTGCGATTCTGTCTGCTGCGGTGGTCTCCAGGTGTACCGATATGGGAGGCTATGCTGGAAGTAGATACTACGTATGGCCAACAATCAATATGAAACTAACGATTTTAAATTGGCTCACTACTTGACTAGCCTATTGGTCCCAAGCAAACGATTAACGTATCCCATTCTAGTCGAAATTATAGTACTACGCAATGTTTGTTTTGATTCGCTATGAAAGTTTGACAGATAAAATGAGGGGTTATTGGTTTTTTCTATGTTTCGAGGGGTGAATCGATTAGCTTGGGACCGAAGAGAGTACCAGAGCTGAGCCAATAAGTTGAGCACGTTATTTCGGGACCTTCCAGTCTTAGAGTTACCTCTATGGTATGGCCATGTTCTTAGGGGCGGCGAAATCGATGAGTCTAAGGCCGTTGGCGTTCGTTAGCTGGTGAGCGCTGAACTTTCCGATTTTGACGTCATGGCTTGGGCAGCTGTCGTATTCCCGTTCCAGCTGCGCGTAAAAAGCGTCTTTATCGTCATCGTCACTTGCTAACTGAGGGTTGTGCGCGACGCCTTCCAGCAAACCTTCTGACTTCTTTCGATGATGTCTTAAAAGTCAAGGCTCGCCCACGCAAATCAACATCACCATCAGGTAGGGTAAGACTTCCCCTACCCAACGGTAATGTTGGCTTGCGTGGGCGTGCCTTGTATTCCTAGAAATCATCGAGAGAAGTCATTGTTTACAAAAGCTGTTACGCCCTTATTCCAGCTCTATCTAGAAATGATGTTGAGCTGTCAAAGACTCGCGCTTATTCCTGCTTACACTACACCGCAAAAACGAAAACGACATAAATCCGGGACGGGACTTGACAATCGAGCTTCTCATTCTTCTTAATGTTTTTGAAGAATTCCCTTCGGAAAGTTGTGCGTGGAGTTTAACGGAGTTGACCAATGATGCCAGGAAAATAAAATATTTATTCGGAGTTTCTACCGCAGTTTAGCAGCTCAACACAATAAAAACAACCATAAACAAACAACAATATACATCGCTTAAAACACGCAGAGCACTCAATTTTTCAACTTTCCTTTCGCAAATATAAACAATTCACAACGCCACTGACGTCAACATTGATTCTGGCATCACTGCCAGCCATATTGATGCGATCCCTCTGTTCTTTTTATTCCACGATTGCTACTGACAAATCGACCAATCAGAAACTGGCTCGGATTTGACAGCAAATTAGCTCGAAATCGCTACCCGATTGTCAAGTCTCGTCCCAGACATAAATTAGCAGAGACGTTGAATAGAGACACGCATAGACTGAAGCAAGAAGAAACCAAACGAGCAAAGTAAATAAACATTACTGTTCGCTCAATTCACCAGAAAGGAGTATTGTTCTCAATGATGAAAAAAGTGTTTAATTATTTTCACGAAATATTTGATATCTGTTATTTATTTATTTATTGTTGGTTCAATTAAATACAACATTTATTAGTGATAAAAAACAATTTCGATTCGGAACGTTTTATTTTGTTTTATGGTACTAAAAATGATTGCGCTGCAAGCAAAACAGTAAAATATGACAAAAGTTATACCATAGAGGTAACTCTGGTTATTCAGCCATGGAGCGACTGTAAACTCTCGTCTTCGCTTTAGTTTTGCAAAATGTTGCCGCGCACTTTATTTTTATTCAGTTCCGGTCGAACGTTCAAATTTTCTCAACAGCATTGCGGCACTGTATAAAAGTCATTTGAAGCCACTCGAAGAAACATGGTTGCCAGTGACATTGCCAAAAATCCATCAAAAACCGTGCTGCTGTTTTGACAGAAATTTTCTTTGCGCGTCTGTATCAACGTCTCTGATTTTTATCTAGGAGATGAGTACTTAAGGGGGTTAGGTTTTTGATAAGTATTTAGTGGGAATGAGACTGATGAAGACTGCACATTGTAGTCGAAATACGTATCTCTCGCGTAACATTTGAAAAGGGCATATCCTCGTTGATCGAATCTCTTCATCGACTTTCTCTTTGATTTACCACGGCAACATAAACGAATTTCTCGCTAAGCTCGCAGCACAGTTCGACCGAAGATGATGTTAACTTGCACCTGAAACAACACACTGAATGGGAAATTGCAGTCGGGTTATTCGCGAAAGAGAAAATCGATCAACAATGATAGGCCCTTTTCTCGTGTTGCTCGAGATCTGTCATGGATACCAAAATTAAGTGGAACTAAATGGAAGATAACCTTTTTTTACTGTTTTATTTAAGCATTCCGCTAACAACCCAATTTCATAACTTCAGTTCAGACTGTATACAAACACAAACACACACTAGTTTTTTCGAAAAAAAAAAAAAAATATTTTAAAATTTCCGAATTTTAACTTGAAAATTGTCGAGGAAATGCGCGGTGAAAGGATGTTGCTAGTGGACATTGCAGAAGTGTGGTTTACATCACACTGCAGTCTAAAAAATTATCGAGAAAATCTCCTCAAGAAAAAATCGACTAAGTCCACGTAAACAGTACCACTGAACCACAGACACACAGACGTAACTCTTCAATCTGGATCATCGTTCACGCATTTAACGATTGATTTGAAAATTATCATTTTCTCGAACTACTCACCGCAGCGTTGCCATCGGATCACTTTGACGTTTCTATATATTCTGTCTATCTTGCATGCAATATTGCTTGCGACTTTATGAGCAAGCTTGTTTTCCGCGAGAACCCCAAGAGATGTCGTTACTGAGGTCCCATGTTTTGAGGTACTTATTCAAAGAGTAACGCCTGTTTGTCTGTGACTGCACTGTCATCAGATTGACGTTAACCCCGACGGTGAAAACCTAAAATGCGATAACGTTGCTTGATGGGACAAACTGACTTGATGTGGTTTTCACATTTTTCATGATCAAAGTCCGGAGTTTTATCACGTAATATGAAAGTAGAAGCCAACCTGATAGTGGACAACATTGTTATCTTAAATAAATGGAAATCCATATAAGACTGATGTGCGATTATAGGTAGTGCTGGTGTCATTCATTTTTATGTGTGATCTTTTATTCGCGAGAAATCGACGGCTAAAATTTACAAAAGCAATTACGCCCCTTTGACATGTTGACACTGATTTATTAATTTATTTGTCCGACAATATAAACATGTTCATAGCAACCTCAATGATCGTTTGCTTTTTCAAATCAACATTGGTGCTACATTGAGCCTGTTGATTTAGACAAACCAAAATATAATTAAATCAAGTAGATGACCCATTTTGCCCCACCTGACGTCGGATTAATTTGGTCCAGAGTCGTGAGAGTCCTCGCTGAAGCATACGGGCATATTTGCCATCAAAGAAAGTACCATTTCCCTTTTCTTACCACAATTCTTTATTCATCAATTCCAGGGGTTCGGCCATCGCCAAGATCGTCGGCTTCAATGCCAAGCGTCTGCCGAACTTCGACGACCGGGTCACCATGTATGTGTTTGAGGAAATGATCGAAGGCAAGAAGCTAACGGAAATCATCAACACCACACACGAGAACGTCAAGTACCTGCCTGGACACAAGCTGCCAGAGAATGTCGTAAGTAAATTTGTGTAATAGGTTTGGGCATATGCAATAGCTCTGCAGGTTTAATTTTAGCGTTCTAATGCATCGTCTTGCGGGGCGGCGGCATAGTAGCACAAAAAGGGACTATTTTTAACGATCGTGGACTTGATCACCGGCCAAGATCGAAGCTCTGAAATAACTCGGTCGATCAGACCTTGGAGAAACGGCTGAGACGGATCAGCTGCTCCGTCGATGGTGGGTGCTGTGTAGTCGGGGGATGCAAACTATGAACTTTGCTTTGGCTGTCTGCTATTTTAGAAATTGCTGATAATATGCTTGCCGTTGACTAGCAAAAAAAAACAGGAAGACAACGCTCGTTTCGTGCAGATAAATATGAATCAAAAGCACATTTGAGCGAGAAAGTGTGTCTGGGAACATGTTTTTTTTTGAGTGGACGGGAATTTCGGCATATAAAACAATCCAGTCACTTGTAGAGATTCGTGATTAGGAGCTCATTTTGTACGGCTGCTTGTGGCTCGTCGTCGTTGAGTTGATTAACATTTATCTTATCAATAAGCTTTCAACACCACACGCTCAGTCTCACTCGTAACAACTGTCCTGGTTCAAGTATATGCGTTGAAATGAATTTATAACATGACCGATTAGGGTTCGTGTTTGTTTATAAAATTGATTATTGTACAGTGCTGTTCGATATAATAGCAGCGCATGCCGATTTTCCTACCAAATTGACAACTTTGACATGTTGTAACTTTGTTTTCTTACGATCAATTGAGCTGAAACGTTCTCCACGGAACTACAAATATGTTCAATTTTACGATTACAAAATACCATTTTTTTGTGAAGCACCTGCCGGAAAGTGAGATAGGGGAAATGCAGGTAATGTCGGCCTAAGTGTTCCTAATTTGGACCCATACATAAATTCAGCAATCGACTAAATTTTCAATAGCAACCAAAAATATCCATAAGTAACGTCCAAATAACGCGTTAATCTAGATAAAATTTATAAATACCAGATTTTTAGCGATGGGCCCAATCTTAGATCCATAGGCCAACGATAGAGACATTTCCCCTACTTGGTAAATTGTTCGAAATAATTGCAGTTGTAAACTTAAGAGAACAAAGTTGTCAATTTTGTATGAAAATCGGCATGTGCTGCTATTATATCGAACAGCACTGTATATTTGTCACTCTACACTCTACATGTATTAGTCTTCGTTGATTGGGCGGACAAGAGTGATTATATTCCATCAGAATTATTGTTTATGGTTTAAGGGGGAAAGCAAAGATCGAGTTTCGACAGCTCGAAGCAATTTTTAAGTTGATAGAGGATTTGAACTTTTCAATTTTGGTTGCGACGTCCGTCCCGCTCTGGAATGAATAGATTATCTGTTTCGGTTTGTCAAAATTAGAAACCGGTTCCACGTTAAGAAATTCCTTTGAATTAGAAGAGATATATGCACGATTCAAGCCAACCGTATCCGACTCCATCATCATCATCATCATCATCATCATCGTCAGGCATTGACATTGAGGAAGGCCAATAATAACTTCTGATGTGGGTTCCTCCCTCACCGCCGCCCATCAAATGTATGTATAAGTGTAACCGTATTGTGCACTCGAATGAACGACATGACACAGTCATCGGAAAAGTGCTGAACAAGCGCTAAGAAGCGGTAAGACACCCGTCAACCAACCGACCAACCATGTCGTGATAGTGAATAATTGACGACATCGGTGCACTCACAGGGAGTTGACTATATGCGCCCGTATGTTTATAGCTGCCTCCATTCAACACAAATAGTGCACCGTTTTCCACTGCATCTGGACTAGGTGGTATGAGTCTAAGTGCACCGATACGACCACGATCGTGTGAGACTTCAATGGCGATGATGTACTTGCACTCTGCTGCTGCAGGAGGAGGAGTATGCCAACCGTCACGTGCTCTAGACCTAGTCTAGTATATAGTGAACCAGCTGTATCTATTCATATTATAATAGTTCTTTTCTGGTATAGCACTTCTGCACGTGATTGGCTATGAACACAAAACGCGCGGAAAACTATGACTGGAACTGGCGCCGCATCAGTACGGACAGGCTTCTGGCGATGCGATCAAGTATTTGGTTTGGGTACAAGTTTGAGTAGACCACTTTCATGGTCACATTGTGCTCTTGTACTTGCATGTCTTGGCAGTGATAACAATGAGTGAGAAGGCCCTAGCCCAGCATCGTAGAGTTAATTGAGATAATTGTTTGAACTCATACGTATTTTGCTAAAGTATATGGGCGAACCATTTTTTTGATAAAACTGAGAGTGGTATAAACGGAGTGTGAAAAAAACGAACCGTGATAAAATCGAAATTCCACTGTACTAGGCAAAGCTGTGGCTCCATAAAGTAACAAAAATTGCTAATTACTATCGACACAACTTTGTGCGAATTTCGAGTTGATTAAATTCTGTTATTGAATAATTACGAACGTTGCTTTCGACGTTGAACCTATGTCAAAGCATGGTAGCACTAATTAACAATTCGATGTTTTGGTGAAAATTCCTCAGTGATAAAAAAACATTCCTTTTGATTGGAGCAAGTTTTATTCCAAGCGGTTGAGCGCCATTTGGTATGAATCGAACTAATTAGCAAGTTGATCATAAATTTGGCACCTGCTAGATCTACCAAGGCGAAAACAGGTTTGGTCAATGATCATATTTTACATCCATTACACCGTATCAGCGTGAGAAAACGAATAGCTATTCAACATGTTTTCTTATGCATTCTTTCACATATTAATTCTTGTTATCATTGACTATTACGTCCCAATTAGAATTATACCCTCAATGAAGTGTTCTTCGAACACATCCACGGTTGTTAACTGAGAGCTGAACAAATCCAGCCCAAATAGCGAAACAACAAAATGAATGTCAGGTTTGATGTTCTCTGTTTTCCGGCTTGACATTCTCTGAATTTCAGTCTTGATTTCCACTGAAATAACCTATTATCGTCAGAGGGTAAACAAAGTCCTAGAGCACTCAAATTTGGCCAATAGATGCTCTGAGACACAATGTATCCACATGCCAAAATTGAGCTCTCAAGGACGTTGTTTACCCTCTGACGATAATAGGTTAAGGTATTGCTGAAGCCAACATTTCCCCTAGGTATTGCACGATTGTTCGCTATGGAAAATAATTCAAATTAGTGTTGAAATTCAGCCATTTTGGTTTTCAAAATTTCACCAAAACTTGATGTTCTACGATGGTTTCTCACTGTTTAAGACTTAGGACTCTCGGTGGCCTATTGACGACCGTTTTTGTTGACTGAACAGAAGATCGTTGGTTCAATCTCAGTTTCCTTAACTCTTCGAGCACCAAATTGAAAATGAACTCGATTTTTTTAAATGATGTATCTCGGATTCTGTTCATCTGTTTTCTAATGTTTTATACAGTTGGAAAGGTTATTTGTCTGTGTAGCATTGTACTAGATATTTCGATTAGTTTTCAGGGAAAAATATGCAAGGAGAAATCAATCAGTTTTAACTTGCTAAAACGGCTTGTATACCGACTCGACAAAAGTGGAAAACCACAAAACTTGCATTCGTTCCAACCACTATGTGACATGACATATTAAACCACAAGAAAGAGGCACTAATATCCTTTCCAACAAGATAAAAACATCAGAAATCCGTTGAAAATTACCGAAGATATTACAAAAATAGAACAGGTAACATTATAGCTCAGACAAACAGACATAACTGTTAGAAGAAAATTCTTCAACAAATATTGTCAAGTGTATTTTGCATACACAATCTAGAACCCTCTATCATGGACATTCCCAAGGATTGATTTGCAACCGGAGCATCCTTCGTTCATGCAATTTTTTCACTAGTTGCTTTTCCCTCGTTCTGTCAACACGTCAGCTTTGTTGAATAAAAACAAAACACATGCAAGTAAGGGAAGCCGGCTCTACGACATTTTCCATAGATCTATAGAATTGATTGAATTTTGCAGAAATATGGATCCGTAGGACATATTCACATAATCTCAGTTTTTTTAAGGGATTTGTTTTGTTTGTTTAGTGTGATTTGTCTTTTGCTGGAAACAAATTTTTAATCGTCAATGCATCGCTAATGAGTAACCTTTCTACCACCGCTCACCATTCTAACGTGTACACAGTAAACAAATATACAGTATCCCCCGCTATGTCGGCTCTCGATAATGCACCGCCGGGATTTACCTAAATCAGAATACAGTTTAGTGGTACTGTTTACGTGGATTAAAAAAATCTAAGCACTTGTAAACAGTACCACTGAACTGTCAAAAAGTTCAATAAATCTCAGGTCCCATAATATTTAGGAGGCTTACAGTATCATTACTTGATTATCGTGTGTTTCGTGAAACTTAACGTCGTTGGTTTTTAATTTTTGCAATAACAACGCAATCGTAGCTTGTATGATCTGTTATGAAGGGCTTGGTGGGCTTAGAGCGACCATTTTTGCTTACTGAGCAGAACATCATGAGTTTAATCTCAAGCCCCTCCCCATTCAAGATTTGTTAATCGCTTTTTTTGTTAATGTGAATACATTGGAATAACAACAAATCGATTATTGGTGTGTTGTAATAAAAGGAGCTCATGTGCATAGTGGAAAACGTTTTTGATTACTGAGCGGAAGACCGTGGTTTCAATCCCAAGCTCCTTCGCGTTATAGGATCGTTAGTATATCCATTCAGCTTATCGTTTACCAAAAACGAATCATGCTGCAAACCCAACACTTTTATCCAACATCTCAGTGATTTCTCGTTGAAGTACAGAGGGTTTCTCGGCTTCCAACAAAGCGGGTATCACGTCAACTGTCGTCAACACATTCCTACCCTTTCCTTTCTTGATTTGTGTTCAGGTGCGGCCGGCACACAACAAGCGGAATGACCAATGTGTAGCTGCTTGGATGTAATATTCAACATTTTTTTTTCTGTATTCATCAGATTAGTATATGAGTAATTCTCGTTGAAACCAGACCGACATT